CATATATATATATATTACAACTAACAGCTTTGTTTTCATTTATAACATATATATATATATTACAACTAACAGCTTTATTTAAAGATCTTAAATTAAAAACGTTGAAATCTCCAGGTAGCAAGATGTACAAACACTATAAAACCGATACAGATAATATCATACAAAGACAAACTGTAGTTTTATCAGACTGGTGTATACTTTGTTAAATCTTATAATGTAATACATAAATTATTTTATTTCTCCAAACTACATATACAAATACATGTTTATTGCCACTTCAAATAAAACCATGACTCGGAATTCGTGTAATGGTCTGAAACGCATTAAGAAAGATTTAAACAAATATTGTAATACTGACAGAGATAGAACTAGTATTAAGTAAAGTAGTATTCTTTGTTTGTTGTTGAGTGGACGATGGACTATCTGTGTTTTGCTCGCCACGGGAATCAAAACCCGGTTTTTATCGTTATAAGTATTTAGACTTATCGCTGAGCCACTAGGGGGCACACTAGTCTTCCTATTGATAATTTTATAGAGCTTTTCATTAAGAGTTTGATCTTTTAATAATTCTCGCAAATTGATGTTTTGCTTTAGTAAACACAGATATTCCTATAACAATATCATTATTTCACATTAAATGAATTATTGCAGCTGTGTATTTTTGCACTTGACAACAAATTTGTACAATTCGGACAAAATCACTTCCAATATATGTATGCGATATTCAGGTTCAGTAACGTTTCAAAGTATTCTCAAAACGTTGAATCTGGAAATGTTAAGCAGATAGTACATCAAATACAGACGAGAAAGGAAAGTAACAAAATCTTTATTCGCACTGAATAATGTGTCGTCGAATATATTCCACTTCCTGTTTGGCCTCTAATTCTGTTGTGACTTTAAATGACTGCTCTGGTTGAAAACGAGTCTTTCTATAAAATGACCGTACCGAAGAAAGACAAAGTTGAATCTAATCTACATCCGAAATTCAGACGTGAGACCTCAAGGGGTGAGACCAACCATGTGTCTGAAACCTCAAGTGGTGAGACCAACCCTGTGTCTGAGACCTCAAGGGGTGAGACCAACCATGTGTTTGAGACCTCAAGCGGCGAGACCAACCCTGTGTCTGAGACCTCAAGCGGCGAGACCAACCCTGTGTCTGAGACCTCAAGGGGTGGGACCAACCATGCGTCTGAGACCTCAAGGGTGAGACCAACCCTGTGTCTGAGATCTCAAGTGATGTTTCAGATACTTCCTTGTAAATGTTTCTTGGAATATTCGATGACGTATGTAGCGTTAGATTCTGATGTAGTGTATACGTGAATCTTTCTGCTTCCTTCTACACCACCATATTGGACGTTAACTGTTCCCTTCTAGCAACCAAAACAATCCCTACCAATACAAGATTCCGTAAAGCTTTGCGTGTTGTTAATGACGTAAACATCACTTTTAGCAGACAATACGGATCCAAAATGCTACGAACATTCACTTTTTCCATATCACCGAGGTACATTACAGCGTCAGATAATATGATATCAGAGGACAAGTTCGGAATTTTGTACCTAAAACGAAGGTAAGCACTTGACGTCCAATAGGCGGAGTAAACTACAGGCCACGTGACTTTTGGGCATCAGTAAAAGTCCCCTATACCAATTATTTTTAACTTTCGTCTCTGGCCCGGCATGGCCAGGTGGATAAGGCGCTCGACTCACAATCTGAGGGTCGCGGGTTCGAATCCGCATAACACCAAACATGCTCGCCCTTTCAGCCGTGGGGGCGTTATAATGTGACGGTCAATCCCACTATTCGTTGGTAAAAGAGTAGCCCAAGAGTTGGCGGTAGGTGGTGATGACTAGCTGCCTTCCCTCTACACTTACACTGCTAAATTAGGGACGGCTAGCGCAGATAGCCCTCGTGTAGCTTTGCGCGAAATTCCAAAAACAAACAAACAAACTTTGGACACATGGTTGGTCTCATCCCTTAAGGTCTCAGACACATGGTTGGTCTCACCACTTGAGGTCTCAGACACATGGTTGGTCTCACCCCTTGAGGTCTCAGACACAAAGGTTGGTCTCGCCGCTTGAGGTCTCAGACACATGGTTGATCTCACTCTCTCACCCCTTGAGTTTCAGACACAGGGTTGGTCTAGCCACTTGAGGTCACAGACACATGGTTGGTCTTGCCACTTGAGGTCTCAGAACAGTGGTTGGTCTCACCGCTTGAGGTCTCAGACACATGGTTGGTCTCACTCCTTGAGGTCTCAGAAACATGGTTGGTCTCACCGCTTGATGTCTCAGACACATGGTTGGTCTCACTCCTTGAGGTCTCAGAAACATGGTTGGTCTCACCG